CCACCAGCGCCTCCTACATCCGAAACGAGTTTTGAACCATTTTTTTTATCAAATAAGCCTAATAACCGCCTTAGCCACAAATGTAGTTAGAGGACATTCAAGCTTTGCTAAATGTTACAAAACCAACGCTGGGGTTTGAAAGAAACCATAATGCGGGGTGCAGGGGATGCTTTCTGGGCCTGCACGCCATAGACACGCACTCTTTCCAAGGCAAGGAGGCTGCTCACAAAAAGCAGGAGAGGAGCCAGGATGTCAAGCTGATTTTTATATCGGGAGAGGGCTTTCCGTTACATGCTCCCAAAAGTAACAAAATAACAGATGAAACAAAGGAAAATGATTCTGTGCACAACCCTACCGCCCCCTCCACTACAATAAATACTCTTTTGCATTCCATAAATCTTGAGATCGCCCCTGTCCTTTCTCTCCCTAGTGCATGGATAGTGCTATTATTAATGGTTTTTACATAATGAGCCACACCTAGAAAATGATTTTGAAATGAATGTATAGAATAATTTGATGATTTGGATCTGAAAGCAACAGAAAGGCTCAAGTGAGTGAGCTGGTCTATCCTACTCATTAAATATCTGCACCTATTTTAGCACAATGTGTCAGTTCAGATCCGGGCTAGTTGGCAGATCGTGTCTTCCAGCACAAACTTACCAGGGGTCTTCCTGGTGTCTATCTTTTATATCTGGAACTCTCTGCCTAAGGAAACCAGAATGGCCTTCTCCCTGCTGTCCTTCCAGTAGCCAATGAAAACATTTCTGTTCAGGCAGGTTTTTGAAGAAGAAGGTTTTTAAGATCAAGCCAAGTGGGTGCTGTGTTTTACATAGTTTAACAGGATTTATTGATTTTGAATAAATCCTGCATTTAATTGTATTTTAATGTTTAAATGCCGGGGTGTTGAATTTACATATTGTGTAGTTTTAGGAGAGAAGTGGGATATAAATAGTACTAATGTTACTAATAATATTGATACTACTAGTGGACCACAATGGACTGATTTGAATGATAATTGAATCAGCAAACTGTTTTAATGTATATTTACAATTGTTTTTAATTTATGCTAATTGTACTTTATGTTATGTTATTATATTGTGTTGGCATTGTATAGTTGCCTGTTGGAAGCCGTCCTGAGTCTCTCTTCGGAGGTTGAGAAGGACGGGGTATAAATGTTCTAAATAAAAAAAAAAAACAATACTAATGGTAATGCTAATACTCCTACTACTAATAACAATCCCAGTCCATACTTCGGGAAATAAAGCCTGACTGCTCACTGGAGGGAAGGATATTAGAGATTACGGATTACGATATTGGTTATGATTCTATGATGTGACGGAGCGGATTATTTAGTGTAACTAGATTATAGTGTATTATTGTTGTATTGATTTCCTGTTTTGCCCTTTTGTAAACTGTTTTTATATGTTGTGCACCGCCGCAAGTCGCCCTAGGGCTGAGAGCGGCGGTCAATAAATGCAGTAAATAAATAAATAAATAAATAATAAAGATGAAGTACTTTGGCCACATCATGAGAAGGCAGGAAAGCTTGGAGAAGACAATGATGCTGAGGAAAATGGAAGGAAAAAGGAAGAGGGGCTGACCAGGGGCAAGATGGATGGATGGATGGCAGGCATGTAGCTGGGGGAGGGGGGGGGGCGTGAGGGGCTTCACCCCCCCCTCAAAATTCTCATGGTGGTCCGTGAGAAGGCCTTACTGATACATTATTTAAACTGTTATGTTTATTCATATCATGATCTGATCACCATGCTCAATATATCCCATATGCATGGGGGTATTGGGGTAATGATACAAAAGGTTTGCTAGGATAGACCCTCTTTCACTCAGACTCAGTCCCCCCCAATCAAACTCACCCTCCCCCACCAAATCAAAATCCTGGCTACGGGCCTGATGGATGGTATCCTTGAAGGGACTGGCTTGACTCTGAAGGAGCTCGGGGTGGTCATGGCCGACAGGGAGTTCTGGCATGGGCTAGTCCATGAGGTCACAATGAGTCGGAAGTGACTGAATGAATAAACAACAGTAATGATCCACAAAATATATTTCCTAACCTGCAAAGGCAATATAGAAACTCATGAAATAATGGGTGATGTCTTCTGAAGGAGGACCTTCTAATTCCTCTCACTACAGAGGATCTTCCCATTTTTTGTCTGCTGAAGGATAAACTCTGTTGCAGCTTCACCTCAAAAGTTTATTTTAGGATTGCTTTCCAGGGCATTTGTTCCCCCCGCTTCCTCCTGGGCCATAATAGGGAGAACTAGACAGAATTATATATGATCACCCTGGTCTCACCCTGGTCATTCCAGAGACATATAAAACATTTTTCCTAGTTCCAACAGACCTCACTACCTCTGAGGATGCTTGCCATAGATGCAGGCGAAACATCAGGAGAGAATGCCTCTAGACCATGGCCATATATAAAAAACCTACAACAACCCAGTGCTTCCGGCCACGAAAGCCTTCGACAGTACATTAACATTATATATGATGTTTAGCACAGACGGGCTACTGAAAATGCACTCTGTGTCGCTTTTTAACATATTCAAAACCACTGTTTCTCCCCAACAGCATTGGTCAATAATCCGCAGAAGGGGGGAAGATGAGGCTGCTGTTTGCCACGGTAGTGCTGTGTCATGTGTCATGCCTTGTTCAGCTATAAGTAACTCCCGATAATCTGGTTCACTTATTTAATGGGTGAATTGAATGTCTCAGTAAATTGAGCTCACAATTAAATTGCAGATAAAAGAAAAGTCAGTGACGGAGCTGATTTCCCTCTGGGAGAAAATGTTGACAAACTGCTGAGAGAGATTAAACTGAGTGGTGCCACATTGTGCAGGGGTGGGGGACCAGCACCCAATCCCAAAGGTGTTTGCCAGCTGCAGAGGAAAGCACTTTAGAGATGGCACAGAATGCAAACCCATGCGTGGACAATAAAACGCTTCTTGATGATCCTCTGCCTCACAGTTCATTTGCTTGAAAATCTCTTGGCAGCCATCTGGATCAGGCGGAGGCAAAATGTAATACTAACCCGCCTAATCTGACAGTGATAAGCTGGTGATGATGATTATTCATGAGGTTCCAGGAAAGGGCGTAAGTGTAGAATAGACCTTGAAGAGGCAGATGCCACTTTTATCCTTTTAAATCTAATTTCAGGGCCCTAAAAGAATAGAAACCAAAAGAGCAACAGAAGGTTCACTGTAGCAGCGAAGGCTAATAACACTTTCAAAGAGCAAACATGGTGTCTTAATTGCATTAATTATATGACAGCGTAGTTTCTGGCAACTACTTCTGTTAGTCAATAAAACTCCCATTTTTTAATTAAGGGGTTGATTTAAAAATAATGTACATTTTAAATGAAACTTCAGCTTGTAATATACAGAAGATTCATTTACTTAGAATATTGAATGACCCTTATTCCTTACTACAAAAAGGAAAAAAATCCATGATCAAATATTAATCGGAGAGCATACTGAGCCATAATTTTAAGGTTCATTAAGATCCACTTCCTTACTTTGTTTTTTCAGACTTTGGAAATCCCGATTTTGAGACAGGAAAACCTGGATTCCTGTATGTGCATAAATTATTCAGATCAAAGTGGCTTGTTTTGCATAATTTCTCTTATTATGCACAATTTGTACTGCCTGTTCGACTGTTTATCATAATGTATTCTGATTTTGCTGTGTTTCAACAAAGAGAGACAAGGGACTACTCATGGCAAAGAAACCCTCATTCCTGGAAGCTACATTTTTGGCATTATTTCCTTGGAGCCAACTCATTATCAAGGACTGGCCCATGTACTTTCCTGATCTCTTGCTATCCATGCGGGTTAGATATTTTCTCGTTAAAAGAATGAAAGTTGGAAATTGGGGAGGTGAGTGCTGTATCAACTACAAATTTAATCACAACATTGTTTTTTGTCACTATTTACTACTTTTCTAATGTTTTTTGAAAATTGTGTGAAATTTTACACATTGGCGAATGTGAAGTGTCAAATGTTCTATGTTTTATGTTTGTCTGTGTCCGATATTTATCGTTCACTGGTTTTAAGTAAAGGTAAAGTTTTCCCCTGATATTAAGTCTAGTTGTGTCTGATTTTGTGGAGTAGTGCTCATCTCCATTTCTAAGCTGAAGAGCCAGTGTTGTTCATAGACACCACCTAGGTCATGTGGCCAGCATGACTGCATGGAGCATCATTGCAGAAGCAGTACCTATTGATCTACTCCCATTAACATATTTTTGAATGGCTAGGTTGGCAGAAGCTGGGCCTAAGAGTGGGAGCTTGCCCCGCCCCTCAGATTCGAACCACCAACCATTCAGTCAGCAAGTTCAGCAGCTCAGTAGTTTAACCTGCTGCACTACCAGGGGAGCCAATTCATTGGTTTTAATTCATTGTTATATGCTATTTTAGTGATGTGATGTATTTTATATTTTGTGAGGCATTGAATTTTACCAATTACTTGTTGTGAACCACTTCGAGTCCCTCTAGGGGTTGAGAAAAGCGGTATATAAATGAAATAAATAAATAAAATTTCTTATCACTTTGAGAGTTCAGGTTGAGTGTTTCTGGAGTTCTGAAACCCAAAATACTTCTTAATACAACACTGCCCATATGTGACGCCTTTGCTTTCTGATATTCAATGTACACAAAATTTTGTTTCATATACAAAATTATACATTACTGTCTCTAAGATACTTCCGGTATGATGGCGGAGAGGTAACAGCTGACTCGTAGAGCAGTCCGGTGAGATTTTACAATCCAAGCTTAATCCCTCTCATCCAGACTTTCCCCAACCACCAACAGCCACCTCTGGTACCCGGGGGCTTGAAGGAGCCCTTTGGGTGTCTTTTTGGTGAGCTACTGTCTGGTAAAGGGAGTTAAGAGGAAGAGGGAGGAGAGGTAGAACGCCGAGGCCACCTCCATCTTGGGGCCTTGTAAGAACATAAGAGCGTTCCCTCCGAGCTGCGGACTATTGCTGCCTAACCACCGGCTGCAAATCCTCTCGACCGAGCCATAGCCCAAAAATACTGCAGGGCTGAAACCTATCGTGCGGCCTGTCTCCTGCTGCCGCTCCGCTCTCCGCGGGCGGGATCTGCGGCGTTGCTGCTTCCATCTCTTTGCCTTCGCTGTCGGGGGGCTGGCCTGCCGTCCTCGCCGCCGCGCCGCTCAGAGCAGCTGCTTCCTGCAGGGGACCATTGCTTGGAGATCCTGGTGCTCTCGGCCTCTCGATCGGCCGGGCGTTTCCTCCTCGGCGTCTCGGCGTGTTCATCCACCCGGCGCCCTTTCTGCCGGCATCCTCCTGCACCTTCCACGCTTCCTGCGCCTGGCGGCTGGCCGACGGTGGGGTCGGGCTGCTGCGTCCTCCCCGCCTCTCCCTGCCTTTCCATCTGGCGGTGGCTCGGCACGGATTAGCAGTTCGGAGAGACATCCAGTGAACGGCGATCGCGCCCCTCCATCGCCAGCGGAGGCTCCATTGGAAGGAAAGAGGTGCCCCTAGGCAGAGAGAACATTGGGGCCGCAGGATCTCCGAGACCGCAGCTGCTTGGGCCTGCACTTTGGCTGGTCTGACCACCTGCCATCGCTGTCCTACTACCACATGGGCAAAGGGCCCTTTAAAAATCTGGGCCTCATAAGATCACTGCCGGAACGCATTTATTTTTGGTTTTGGTTTAGTTTAGTCTGGTTTATTGTGTGTTATGTGTTGTTAGGTGTTATGTGTTGTTATGTGTTGTTAGGTGCCTGCTGGGTGTTGTTGTGATATGTAGTTTGTGACGGACATTTAAGATCTAAACATTGAAATAGCAGACAGGAAGTTCTGTCTGTCTGTCCATGACTCAGCATTTTTGCTGTCATCTCCAGAGAACTATACTGCCCTCTATGGTCAAGCCAAGTTGAGCAAGATAACATCACTC